CTCGCACACACATAGGATGGGACTCCCATCCGATGCTACACTTCATTTGACAATGGGTTTGTGCAAATAGACAAAACAAGTCACAGTACATTACTGCCTTTACACACAACATTTACACAAAAATGTTGAGAAAAGAAACTGGTACAGCATCTGGTAAGAAAAACAAAGTCTGGTTTTATTCAGCCAGCTCACAGACGAGCAGATTTTCATCAAGTGGACTGTGAGGTATAGAGAAATAATTTTATACAGCTGAAAAGGACTGTGTCTGTGCTGACTCATGAGAGTGATTTGTGCAAGTCTGGCATAACTTTCTTAAACTTAGTTTCAAAATCAAAAACATAATGTTTAAAGAGAAAACATCATGGCATCAAGGATATGTGTCCTGTAACTCCCTATGCAAACATATTGAGCAGCAGATAAGTGCACGGAGAGAGATCACTGCTAATCCCCCTTCAGGGATTCTAAGAACACAGCCTTCAGGTGGATGATGGGGAAGTGGAGGATGGAGAGAGCGTAAAAAAATGCATTCAGCATAAGAAGTGGTGCTACAGCAGTGAAGAAGGAGCAACCGCAGAAAAGCAGCATCACCAGACTGAAGAGCAGAGAGAGCAAGTAAGCTAAAACACTTTTACAGTAAACTGTCAGGGTGATAGATGTACACTACACGGCCAAAAGTATGTAGATACCTGAATAATGTGGACAACACCATAACATTACATCCAAATGTGATATTATTCCAAAACCATGGGCATTAATAAGCTGTTATAACAGTAAGCTGCTCTCCTGGGAAGACTTTCCACTAGATTTTGGAACCAGGCTCCAAAAAATTCTTCCTATTCACCCATAAGAGCATCAGTGAGGCTCTGCACTGACGTTGGGATGTGAGGACAGGGTCATAGTCAGTAATCCAATTCATCCCAAAGGTTGAGGTCAGTGCTCTGTGCAAGCCAGTTCTTTGAGGCTTTGTGTTCACAGAGGCTTTGTCATGATGAAAGAGGACAGGGCCCTCCCCAAAGGTGTTGTTTTTCCACATAACATTTGGATGGGAAATCTGTGATTGATGCAAAGAACTATGGTCTGTGCTATGATAAAAAAAAACGTTCCCTTAGTTAAGTTAGACTAGAAAAAAAACATCCTTAAAATTTAAGTAAAGAGTTAAAGAAAGATAAAGAAAAGATTCTTACACTTCTCCATCAACTTCTCCAAAAACAAAGCAAATTCCTGTTTTTTATTCCCTTTTTTAATTCACACGACCAAACATTTGTCAGAACTCTCCCCATTCATAAAACGTGTTGCAACCCAGTTTACGGGAAATGGTTCCAGTAATGTAGTTTTCACTCAAGAATATTAAGCAACACTGTGTTACAGGATGTGCTCTGTTGTCACACCCTCATGTCTTTCTGTGATTTTGAGAAGTGTTGCAGTATTTGGGCGTGTCTCCAAAACAAATCTTGACTGAAAAAGACCACCCACAGTGCCTGTGTTCTGCTGACAAGAAATAATTGAATCAATAGGTTTCACCTGAGATAAAGAAAGAACACATGAGCTAATCACACTTTACAGCACTTACAGAATATGGCTGGCTATATGACTGCATGGTCAATCTGATAAACTGACTCAAGTTTTATTTTGCAATGACATGAAGGGAAACCAGTGATCACCAGAAAACCAAAACTCATCCTGGTCAGCATGTTACAGTAAGTACACATGCTTTGAAGTAAATCAGCTAAAACAAGCAAAAAACACTAGTATTGTCAATAAATGACGATGAATACAGAAAATCCAGCCACAGACCATAATCATTTACTGTCATATGTCTGACTTCTAACCTAGCCTATTAAAAAGGGAAATGTATTTTTCTCGCGGAAACCCTCCATCATTCCCACAGAAAACGTCCTCCAAACATATTTAAAATCCCTGTCTGACATCTGCAGCTGTCATAAACAGTTCCCTCACCACTGGTGCCTTTCATCTGGTTTCAGAAAAACCTGAACCAGAGCTGATTGTCTTCAAAAACTACTAGCCATTTACTCAAAATACATTCCTAAAAATGAATTGAACTCAGCTGCAGAAGGTTTGGGGTATTTTTTTCAATGAATGACATGGAGCACAGCACTTTTTCCTTTCTTATTGCTTGGTCAGTGGCTTGATTTATTTCATTTTTTTGAAAGCCTTAAATGTCATATAAATAAAGTTGATTACTATTAAAATATTTTAATAATAATACTATTATTGAGCAACAACCTGATTAGAGGGACACGTAATTACTTTGCTGTAAGCGCCTTGGTCGAATTCAACTTTCACATACATTCCAGTTTAGCCTATCCTATGTATAGTAGGTGTCTTCAACTATGCCCCTATAAAGATGACACAAAACGCTATGTGCAGTACAGCATCTATGATGTGTTAGACAAACTAAAAATACTTGACTACATTCCTGTCAGCACATGGCAAACCTCACCCAACTAGAAGTCCATGTTGGCCACAACGTTTACTTGCATCATCCCAGTGTTTGATATGTATCCTCAACATTACAGGACACAAATAATGCAAAGTAACAAGCCAAACTGAGGCAAAGTTGACAAAGATCATCACCACTGACAATCAAAGTGAAAGAAATCTAACAATTTACCACCTTTGATGTTCTGTGTCTCAGTACACCCCAAACATAGTTTGTAAGTGAATCACAACACACCAGGAAACAAGAGGACTCTTGCTGTGGAACATAATCTGTGTGTTTGATTGCTGTTGTCATGGTTACCCTGATCGCGTTCTGGGCCCCGCGACGCAATGGTTACCAGCGCCACTGTCATAATCTGATGGATGTCTTTAATTACTGTGGACTCCAACACTTCAACACACACACACACACACACACACACACACACACACACACACACACTCACTAGATGAAACAAACTCTGTTTTATCTGTATACAAACTTATCTAACATCTAACCTTAATTTAAGGATACAGGAAACAGCAGTTTGACCAACGGTGGTGGAGTGTAACTAAGTAGATTTACTCAAGTACTGTACTCAAAGGTCCAGTATGTAACATTTAGGAGGATCTAATGGCAGAAATGTATTATAATATTCATAGGTATATTTTTTTATTAGTGTGTAATCAACTGCAAAAAATACTTGTGTTTTTGTTTCCTTAGAATGAGCTATTCTTATCCATAAAGGGGTATATAGGTAATTAAAAATGGACGTAATCTGCGTGGCATCACCCATAGGTTTCTGAAGAACCATCGCGAAGCTCTAATTGTGGTGGCTCTGGCTGTCGTTGTCTTGGAGATCTTGACTCCGGCAGCTCCAATCCAAAAATGGCGTGGGTGGAGCTCAGGCAGGCTGAATGAAGCCTGGTTACTGAAAACAGCCACCTGTGACTCCAAGCAGCCATGTCCTTAATTATGCATCACTTTAAGTATTGATATATTGATAGAGAGAGCGACATTTTTTTGTACCAGGCTGTTAACACGTTTATTCCTGCTGTAAAATGGGGCTTATGGTGATCACTCACTGCTGTAACCAGCCTCAAATGCGTGCAGCCAGGAAGTGGGGTTTATGTATGTGATTTCAAAGTTGGCATTTTACAGAGATAGACTGTAATCCATAATTGTCAGTAAAATTTAAAATCCTGCTTTTAGTTAGGAAAACAGATAATATGTTATGCTATGCTCCTGCCAAGCTTTGAGAGACAATTTGCTCTTACTGGCACCGGCAAACCTATCAGCTACAAATGACCACCTTGCCAAATTTTCAATCCCACTAACATGTTTTTGTTGTGCACTTCCTGCCCTGAAATCATAAAGCATCACAGCATCGTCTTCTCACAATAACATGCTTCCTGTATATCTTATTAACCAAACTACTAAAGAATTTAACTGTGTTATTACAAGCTTTTCCAGTGAATTCAAGCAGTTGTTGTGCTTCGTCACTGGCTCGGTTCACATTCCATTTGTGGCTGACGTAGTAAAATCAACATGGTCCGTCTGCAAATTTTTGAGCATGTGGACAAAGTGGACCATACCATAGGTAACTTTTAAAATATCTGTTATAATTTTTTCCTCACAGATCGATTTGCATGCATAGGCCCGAGCCTCTGCCATAAATACCATGTTTATCTGCCATTTATTGCTTACTTTTAGAGGCTGTAATCTTCAACTGTGCATAGGTGTCATCATAGATTAGCAGACAAACATTTTTCGATTGTTCCAAAGGACAAATTAAAGATTAAAGGTTACTAAATATTTGCAGTAAGTGCACCTTAATGGTATAATAATTTACTTAAAGAAATTAATTATGTTTATCTTAAGAAGTGATCTGGTCATATTTATTGCAATTTTACAATAAATCGACACACTGCCTACTGGAACAAGTCAATCCCCAAAGTGAGGTTATGGGCAGTGCAAATGAAGGAATGAATAAATGAATGAATTAATGAATGAATGAATAAAACGGTCACTGAGTGAATGAGGGCAGGTTTGGAGAGGTGAGAGGTGACCAGGGGAGTTCACCTCCAGACAGGCACACAAACCCTGGGCAAGGGAATGTGAACTGCTCACCCATGGAATTAAGCAAGGCACTTAATGGACCTTTTTCACAGCAGCCAATCTGACATGAAGGGTAAACACAGTTGTTAATATGTGTGTGTAACAATGGCATTAATCAGTATCATTACTAACACCTGTTTACCCTACTATTGGGTGTCAAAAAGGCTGCTGAAAAAGGCTCATGTGTGGCATTTCACTTATACAGAGCGTTTGAATGAATGAATAAAGGGGTCAGCCAGCCCCAGAGGTACGTCCTCCCGCTGTGTGTCCAACTATATGGGAAAAACTGTCTTAAATCAACAGTTTTGCCTCCATCGATCACAACAAACAGCCATGTCAGCACAGATTACAGCAGGGTTAGCCGTAACGTTTTTACATATTAATTCATCTGAGACAGTAAAGTGAAACCTCTGCAAAGGACGGAAGTAAAAAAAAAATCACATGCTGAGGTTGCACTGCTGCGTTTAGGGTTAGTGCGCCGGACGTATGAAAAGACTTATCCCTGCAGTCGAAACCCGCCAGAACCGCAAGCAATAGTGAGAGGACGGCTGCGTTTGTCTCCACGGTGTTGAAGCCGCACGAAGTGAGCACCTGAGCGGCGATGAAGGCACGCGAGAGAGCGGCAGTTTCAAGCCCTAGCCCGCGGTGAATATGAATGAAGAATGACCAATGGTGAGTAAAGACAAAGCGTACTACGGCGTGGAGGTGAACTCAAGTGGCCTGAAGCGGTGACGCACTGAATAAAAACTGAACACATTAAACATTAAACACACCAACATGTTAGCGCCGAATTAAAAGCTGAAGTTAGCTCACTGTTAGTTGTAAGGTTGTTTAAAGCGCACATGCAAAAAAAAAAGTCTGCGCTGTCCCAAAGCAGGGTAGTGAAAGCGTTTTCGAAACCTACCGGGAGCCGACCACACACGCATCCGTCCTCTTGCCTTCTCCGCCGAGCGACTGGCTCATTTACTGTATGTTGGAGACTTTAAGGATTTTCCAACCCGGGGAATTCCGCGTAAATAACTTCCCATATGCCAGTCAAAAGGAAACTGAAATAGGTCTAAGGATTTACGGGAATTGGCTTCTGGTTTACAAGAACTGATAGGACTGCTTGGAATTCCACTTAGCCTAAATGTTAACATCCGGAGATATTAGTAGTAAATAAGAAAAATGCCTCTTTCAGGGTGTGCTATTATTATGTTGTTGGATTTTAATTGCTGATGTATTCACGTGATTAACATTATACTCTTGTGACTAATTATGTGCAGTTACTGTATACTGTAGGATAATGTAATCTATAACCATCATAATCTATATCATATTTGATACTGTATATCATATTTGATAATGTTTAGTGAAAAGTTGAATGTAGCATTGAATGAAAACACTAAAGTACAAGCGCTGTACCTCAAAACTGTACTTTAATTAATGTACTTATTGATGTGATTTTCCTATGTAGGTTGTTGTTTCATTGAACTTACTGTAATCATGGTAGCTTGCTGTTATGTTTGGACAGAATGGGTTCAAGGTAACACTAGAGGATACTTAAATGATCACTGAGTTCCCAGGCAAAATAAAAAATGTAATTTAGCTGTTGTGCAGACCAATATTTTAAAAGGAATGAGGACTCAACAATAGAGTGAATAGAGTTAAATTGATTTGATCATGCAGGGTACAGGAATAAAGTTGTACTAAATTGAATGGATACTCAGGACCAAGTGTAGTGGAAAGTGTTAAACTGTATTACACGCAAACATGTTTTGGATTAGTTGACTAACATCTCTGTCTCCCTCTCTCCCCGTGTCCCTCTCACTGTGACCATAAACTCTCAGCCTCTTCTTTGCATCAGTCTCCTTTTTCTTCTGCTTCTACCTCTATCTCTGTCCTGTGACAGAAAAAGACCTCCCACAGAAGTGAAAAACGATTACGCAATCGTGCAAATTTATCTTCAAGACGCAGTAAGTAAGACACCAATTCTTATTTATTTATTTAGTTTTCATTTATTACCATTCCACTCCCTTATTGCACATGAGGGAAATAAACTTTTATTGTCATCCAGCGAGAGGAAATTATCGCTCAAGGGATCAGTCCCATCCAATGTAGAACAAGATGCGTCACAGAATATTTTTTCTCATCATCAACGAGGAGATGGAAATAGCGTAAAAGAGAAGTAGACAAGTTAGAGCAACACTTTTAAAGGTGCTGAAACACTGGAGATGTGGATCGTGCAAAAGCAGCTGCAACCTATTATTGGGTATGAGATGTTAACCAGCTTGTGTGCATTCACCGCATACTCAGACTGGACTTTCCTTCTACCTCTGTTTTTTTATTTATAATTTTTTTATACATCTTGCTGCCCTGTTACGAAAAAAAGGCTGCCAGTCATACAAGGAAACTAAAGCAAAACAAGGAAACAAGCTGGTTTGCATGTTTACATGAAGTGAGAAAAAGGTAGACACACAGGCTCAGATATGTGTCTGTCATTTGTGGGAAAGCCTTTTTGGAGTGCACTTCCCACTGGGTGTAACATGCAGGTCTAAGTTTGAACTGTAAATATAGCATGTCACAATTGTTATAACAAAAACATTCTTTGAAATCAATAAAATGTTTCCTCAAAAATGATAAACAAACAATTTGAAACTAAGGGTTTCCTTATAGCCCACATACTAGAGCAGGTTCCCCGTACCGGGTCCGAATCCAACCTGTGGCCCTCTGCTGCATGTCATTCCCTTTATTATTCATCTTGAGTGATCAAATAAAGGCAACCCCCCCCGAAAAAAAAATTATATATACAGTATATAAACTAGCTGCCTTTTGTAAAATCTTCATTTGTATTACTAATATTTACCATTGTGATGCTTTCATTTATTCAAGAAAGGAAAAATCGTAAGCTTGCTGCATAACTCATCCTGCACAAGAGTGTGGAAACACAAGCAACCTAACTGTACGTCTGGCAACATGGTGAGTAATAATTATCTTGTAGTTTTCTGCTTTAATGTTCCCAAATGTTTACATACAAGTCCTTTTTGATCAGTGATCTGCTTGGCATATAGTTTAGTAATGCCTGAGTGTTTGAAATATTACCAACAGTGTACATTAAAGGTCCAGTGCGTAGAATTTAGTGGCATCTAGCGGTCTTGTTGCAGATTGCAACTCACTCGTTTCACCAACAGCAAAACCGCCTTTCTAGAGCCCGTGTTTTCCATGACGGTTCAACATGGCAGCCTCCTATGAATATTATATTCCATTTCTGACAATAGAGCCTCCTAAATGTTACACACTGGACCTTTTTAAAGTGACCATAAAAAGAGACCATTTGCTGTGTACATACCTAACTATATACTCCAGCAACTCTACTTCCTAAACATCTTTACACATAAGCAGAATAACCTCTAAGGGGCCCATAGGGATGGGCAACCTCAACAAACTCACTGTCACACTATAATTAATGTGAACGGTGAACATTCAGGTAAAATGACCTTAATGACCAGGCCATCAGAAAACCAATTTGCATAAATTGGCATCCCTAGCATCCACCTATTATTTGGCCAACTGCGCGAAAGCGCAGCAGTGGATCTCAATTTTTGTGGTCACTGAGGGTGTTTATTGTTATGAGTTTAAAGTTGCAAATGACTCATATACCTCTGTTCTGCAGGATGTTGTGAGCACCTTGCACAAACTAGCTTGCAAAATGAAGAATTTAGAGCTTCCCGACACAGATAAACTGGCCAGATCTGTCATAAACTCAATACAGTGTCCTTGTCAGAAGAAACCGGTAAGCACATTCATTTGTTGAAATTGTAATAATGAATGTAGGTTTTTGTGTTGAATTTGACAGGGACAGCAGCAAGGTGACCAACTCAAGAATCTATCAGTTTCACAATGTAATATTTAATTATGTTGGCATAATTTAATTAAAAAAAGTCAGTGGAACGTTGACAGGCTACAGTGTTTCGCTCTGACACATAGTGGGTGACTCACTAAAAGGTTACATAGCCGGTCGGCTGTGTGAATATATCCAAACATTCAAACAACAGTCTATTTCTTTCTCACACAAGTTAACTTGGCACCAGGCAGTGACAAGCTACAACGGAAAATGTTACGAACAGACATTATGCTTCTTTGCACTGCAATAAGGTTTGGAAGCAGGGATTGTAAATTAACCATAACTTAGATGTGTGGTGGTTACTCTGGTTCCATTTTCAAGTGAAGGTTTTCAGGAGTCACACTGAAATGCAACAAAAATAGTTCAGATGTTTCCACATTTACTCGTTATCTCATATTAGCCCACTGTGATGCAGTAACAATAAAACAGGTTGGGATTACTGTTTTGATATTCCCACACCCTCCTTACCCACTGGGTCAGTTATGTACTTCATTTCATTCAACAGTGCAGGATCAGAATCAGATCTGATGATTCAGGCTCATAGTTGAGGTCTGAGTCATACTTTGGAGCAAAACAGGGCCTCTTTAGAGCCTCAGGCCTCACCAGATCAGCACAGGTTTAAAATACTGGCTCACAGTGCAACATGCTTGGTTTTGTACCCTTTTAAGCCTGCACCTTGATTTGGATCAAGCTTTTGGAACTTTGACGGAGCCGAATATACGGCAGAAGCAGGATGGTTTTCTGTGATTACAGTCATATTTTGATTTGTCCTAGACAGACTGTGGCATGAGCCCTGTTTCACTTTATACTAATAAGGGATAAACATTCAGTTTATAATACAGCATTATGTTCATGAGATCATAGGACTACACTCGGCGCTAATTAGCACATTGTGTGTTGACTTCTGTTGACTAGACTGAAGAACCCAACGCGAAGCCGAAGAGGAGGAGGACAGCGACGAGAAAAAGGAGGAACGAGCCGAGAAAAAGCAAAGAGACGAGAAAACTTTGCAAAACCAAAGCAGTCCTGTCCAGTATGACTACATGCTACGAGATGCTGAATACTATGACCGCCTGAGACCAAACTACAGCACGTTGTTGAAGCAAAAAAAACTCACACATCCTGCCTGTACTTATGTAGTCCTTCATTGGATTATACAAGAGGAAGCTTCCACTTCATTTAAGCTACCCTGTCACATACCAGTATATCCCTTCTGCAGCTGTATTTGATCATATATGATGACTGACTCTTCAGATAAGTTTCCAAGCTGCACAGGCACAAGCTATTAAGCCAACTGGGAAAAAATGTTCCAAGGCCAGCCAACAAACTGGACTCTTACACACTGGGCTCAACTGTGTGATGCATATACCCCGCACTAGTGCCCAGAATTCCCAAGAATGTATTATGGACTGCTTGCACGGGGCACAGCATAAAGAAGCTTAGATGACGGACAGTGGGTTCAAAAGAGAAAATGTTTTCTAAGGTTTAAAGTTGCAGATGTAGCTAAACCTATTTTGTAAAGGCAATTAGATTGTAAAGAATATGCTATGACATTTACTTGCACTTAGCGATGACTGCTCAAGCGTGACCAGGATATATTAAGGTGCTTGAACACAGTTTTGCTTTCACTTTGGATAAGAATGACTAGCCCTAGCACATATTTGTTAACTAAAGCTCCTTTGTTTCGTTGTTTCAGGCTGTGTGTCAAGTCATCTTTTTCAGATGGCATTATGTTGATTAATCATTGAGCATGATTGATACTTTAAAAGCACATTCTGCCACAGATGGCTGAGTTCAGCTCACACACCTGACTTCTTACGCTCTGGAATACTCTACGAAGCTTTCGTGTCACATTGTGTTGCTTTGATTAATGGTACCTGCCTAATTAAAAAAAACAAATATATATATATATATATATATATATATATATATATATATATGAAATGTAACGTAGCTTGGGGAGCAAAAATGCTGTTTGCCACATTTGTTGTTTTTCATAATTTTTAAATATTTGTTGGTTGCAAAGTAAAAAAACAAACCAACATTACCATTTAACCTTTGCCCCTGATTCCAGCTACCACTTTCAGTGCAGCAGCTATATTTCCTTTTCCTTACCATGCATAATGCATTATCATGGAGCTAATTTCCTTTTGTAAAATGTTTAATGTAAAATTTGTTTTAAAGCACATAAAGCAGTGACTATTATATATGACCAATGGCATATGTATTCCAAATATATTTATTCTAAAACAAAGTAAAGCCATTACTTTGTGCTTATTACCCTGAATGATCCACAGTATTGCAGAACTGCAACATGTTCTACTTCCTCTCTTTTAAACAGACACTCACACAACTCTATCACAGCTGTCAGCATAGAAATTTATTGGTGGTGGATATACAGTACATGGCATTAAGTGCACAACCGTATCCAGGCTAACAACTGTTGTAATCAGTCCAGGTAAACACACCTGTCCAGTCTGTTTCAACATTTTTCATCATGTAACAAATAGTTTGCTTCTTGGAACTTGGAACACACGCCTTACTTCTCAAATGATTCAAAGTTTATCACAATAATCACTGTTAATGAACAGTAACTGTGCACCCTAAGTTGAGGCATCCCTCTAAATGGTCCCACCTGCAACTGAACTGTGTCAGGGTCATAAATAGTGTCTGTTATATCAAGCAGAGATATCAAACCTACCTGTACAGAGCATTTAAAATGACTGTAGTGTTACTGTACTGTTGACTAATTGACTGAATACCTTAATGAATTGAATACTGCTTCAATAGAAACACTGTCAAATAGAAAGCAACTGCAACACACCCAGGTGCATTTAGGTTTCACACAAATCCAAATAAAAACACATTTTATTTGTGTAGAGTGTTAACAAAAAAGGTGCAGTCATTGTTCATTCAGTACAAATGAAAGGGAATTATAAAATAAATAACTCATTACAATGTATAAAATTAGTGGGAATAAAAGGGTTTGAGTAAATGCTACATTTGTCTAGAAATGTCAGGCCTATGGTGGTAACATTGAGATAGCTGGAAACAAACTTTGCATGTAAAGTGAACTTAAAGGGAGCACTGACATTTAACAGCTAGTTCATTTTTGGACTGGTCCCTGTCAAAACAAGGTGATATCCTTCCAAAATTCCAACACATTTCCTTTCAAAACCACATTGTTTTCTTCAGTAGTCAATCATATTGCACTTCATAACGAACATATTCTGTTTGTGAGGATGCAGGGCCAAATGGGATTAAGGAATGTATTTCAGATCACGGTTGACTGGGGACTGAGATACAGGGGCCACCATACACACCTCTAATGAGTCACCCAACAATTATCCTTTACTCCCTTTGTCACATTAACAACCCACGTCTTAGTTGTTATTTACTTTCTTACTCATCTCTTCTCTAACCTTATCAAAGGAGGCACCAATAGCTTTGAATCGTTGATATTGAAACTGCTCTGTAGGGTAATTATTATTAATTATTGTCCAGTGACAATAAAATGAAGTTTTTGTAATAATGCAGACTCTAGTTTCACGGCAATAATGTTCATGTGTATGAGCTGGTGGAAACAGCAGTAATGTTTTAAGAAGGGAGCTAATTAAAAGCTAATGAGCTACGTTTTTTTTTTTTTTTTACGTCAGCCGTATCAGCTACTGATAAAACAGTTTTACAAAACTTTATAACAGATCAGTTAACTGCCGAGATCCATCAGCCTCCAGTCTAAATAAATCATAGTACCTAAACGCAAAATGTATTGTAGATGACGGTTGTTACATTTGTGTTTGAAAATGGCAGGATTTCTACTATTTATACTAAATGTACAGTATTCAGAAAAACTGCACAAAAAAATTGATATTAACTAACTATAGTAACCCCTAGCCTTAATAGCTTGATTTGGATTTACTTATTGGTTTGTTGGTCCATACAGTGGAATAGACCAGCAAGACTGAAGAACATTTAGAAGCCAAGTGTGGAAAATACAGACTCCAAACTATGTTTTACAATTCTTATCAGCTTTGGTGAAACTCTCTGATGCTAGTTTGAGTAGCGGTGCATCCATATTTTTTTTTAGAGTCTCCTTCCTCCAACCTTCTGTCAGATACACATCCTTCTGACCCCGCACTCACAGCAGAATTTGGCGGATTCAACAGGATACTTGGTCCCACAAGCATGACAGAACTTGCTCCTCACCCCGCCGTTGCCAACTTCATTCCCGCCATCAATATCATTCCTGGGAAATTTGACAAAGTTGACAAAGCAGCAAGGTCAGAAACTACGTACATGAAGTTGTTAATGATATTTGACAGGGCGCCCCATGTAGGGCTGGTGATATTATTGATAATGTTAATGGTTCTAACAACCTGTTAAATGAGTATAATATAAGTCATGAGATAGACAACATTTTTTAAATCCCTTGAAGTGGATGAAGTAAATGTTTTAGTGTTGAGATAACGTAACGTATAGTAAGTTGAAATGCCAGTTTGATGCTAAAATGCTTTGCCACAAGGCGTATTGAAAAAGCACTTCATTCATGTTGATTGTATACACACATTTTAGCTTAATTTAATTAAACAGGCAATCAAATCATCAAAGTAATCAGAACCTGGAGCTGTAATAAAACATAAGTTATGCAAACTGTACAGTTTTACAGTACAGTACTTTTGTTTAAGGTAGAATTAGGAGACTCAGTCATAACAAAGTAAACCAGAAAAACTAAATTCAAATGAAATATAATGAAATGTAATAATTATTACAGACTGTAAGTCAAAGTAGAGGTGATTTTTGTAAAATTCTCTAAGCAGCCTAAGCATTTCCATAATATGTTTACACAACAATTTACAGAATGGACTCTCCAGCTATATGCAAAACACCAAGAAACCACAAGAGGTCAGGGTAGTTTAAAAAGACTGTATGGTGGTTGTATTATTGTGCCTTTCATTCATTCTTGCATAATTTTTTTTTTTTAGCAAGTACTGGCTCACCTAGATATGTAGGTGTCTACTTTCTTCTTGTTGAGTCCTATTCCAGATGGAATGTTCCTCACAGATCCAAGGCCAGAGCTCAGTGCTCGGGTCTTACTTCCCACACTGAGGGGGAAAACATAAAGAGAAGAAAGACAAGGATGCATGAAATGCAAACTTTGGAAGGCAGGGAGGGCTGTAAAGACACATCTAAGCTTTACACTCACATTTGAGCTGGCACAATACTCACAGATGTGCCATGTTATGCTTATGGTGCCAACAATTAAGTCACTTATGCTGTTAATAATGTCTTTCTATCAGTAACAAGTAGTTGCCAGTGAATATAACCAACACAGAAACCACATATTAAATGGCTTGGTGATAGTACATTAACATACTTTTTTTTTCTCATAACACATGGTTAATACGTGTATTATTTTAAAATGTAACAATTACATCATTACTGAGCTAAAGTGAATTGAACAATGTAAAGTAAATGTGTGTGCGTACACTGACCCTGATGGAGGGCTTGTGAGCCCAGAAGGACTACTCCTCACTGAACCTGCAGAAGAGATTTTACTAGATGGGATTCCTAAAGCAAAGAGAGAGAAAAAAGAGAGATTGACAAAAGAACATTTGCATTTTACTGCAGTCTATGTAGTAACCTGTGTCATTTTTTAAAATCTGTAACAAATATATGAATTATCAGGTGTGAATGCAACACCCTGTGACACAGCTGTGCCGTTACCAGTGGGCTGTCCGAGGCCTGATCTCTGGGGTAAACGAGAGGAGGCTGAAGGGATGGTTGACGCAGCAGGAGTGTTGGCTTTCTTTACAGAAGCAGGAGGCTTACACTAAAGACAAAGTGAGAGGCAAGGGGAAATAAATAAGTACATAATACAAAAGCTAATGGTTCAAAAATATATTCAAACGATGGTTCTGCTTTACAAACAGGTTGTGAGTAAGAAAAACTGAGAAAGCTATAAAAATGGAAAAAATAAGCAACTGACCAACAGCAAATGTAAAAAACTTTACTCTACCATGGAAACCTAAGTGACATAAAATGCAATGGCCAATGTTTTGTCATTATTATGGAAAAAGCAGAACTCCAAACCACAATGGTTTAGACCCTGCTGTTTTTATTCGTTGCCAAATTAACTCTCCATAGCTGTTGCTAAGTGATAGTATTAATTCCACACCCGCTGTCAAGTGGATCTCACCATGGTAATAACAGACAAAGAATTATTGTTATGGAGTTACAAACAACAGTTCATAATCATAAAGGATTGGCAAGAACATATACAGGAATGAAAAATTCCCTGGCCAAGGCAAAAGTAGGGTGGCTGTGTAAATAGCTACACAGCCACCCTAGTAATTAGAAAAGAAAGCTATTTTCATTATGAGAAAGAAAGTTGTGAGCAACAACTTACCTGTGTGCATGGACTCAGTGTATCATGAATATTTTTTTTATAGTGCATGTTTAAATGTTAATAATAAAGGTGCATTTAATACAATACTGTATCTTATAAACAAATGTACCAGCACTCTTTTAGTGTGTGCACAGTCTGTGCATGTGTGTACCTGTGTGCGAGCAGGAGGCTTCTTGGGATCTCCTAACTTGCTCTTGTTGGGCATACGAGCGGCCTGCTCCTGGCAGAACTTGATGTGTCTGTCAGCTGCACTCTGGTTGAACCGCCGCTGACAACAGGGACACTGGACATAGTCTAAAGACGAAAACGGGTGGTGAGAAAATATACCCGTAACTGCATCTACTGTAAATCCTGTAAGTACTACTATGTGGGGATGATCTGACTTTGTACTTATCGTTTATTTTTTCTTCTTGCAACTCTAAATTCAATAAGTTACACCTACTTTACTGTGCCAAAAAACTGACTCAGGCAAGCAGTGTGACTGCTCTAATCTGTTAACATGGGTGGCGAAATAAAAGGCAAGATGTTCCGCCACACACGCCCTGCTCAGGTTGGCAGTGTGAACAAACTGTAATACAATTAATTCCACTCTCATTAGAGGGACAAGTTACCTGGGTCATAAGTAGGAGGAGGAGGTGGGGGTAGTGGTCCCCCATCCTTCATGACTTGAGTGAGGACCTTGGCAGCCCGGATGGTAGCAATGAAGTCCTCATGTTTCTTACGCCAGTTGGATGGCTTCTTAGGGGGTTCTGCCTGGCAGGAGGCAACACATAGGAGATGCTCTGTTACACCAGTATGTTTGATTCACCAGCTATTGCTGCTGTCATGGTAATCCTTATCACTGCCTGCCTGATGAATTGTCAGAACTTGAAATGAATGTGTCCTCATTATTTATGAGCTAACTGATATATTGGATGTTTTCAAAATAACATCCCCTCCTCTCTCTTTTGGTGTGTCTAGTTTCTCTTTAACTCAAACAATCTAAAAGTAAGAAAATGTTACTAAGACACCAGGATGCTCAATAACCAGTTGTTATCTGAAATGTTCTCTTGACCAAACTTTAATGATTATATTATTTTTTCACTCTTATTTAGGCCCTGGAAATTCCTGTAATTGAAGTCAAGTTTTACTAAAGCTGCAGCTCTCAACAACACGCACCAGACTCTCATAACTAACCAACTTTAATTCCATTCAGCCATGACTTGTTAAAAGAAAAGTCCCGTCTTTCTATGGTCTAGAGCTTATCTAGAGCTGATGATTTCTGACAGAATTAGTTCACCGAGCGTCCTCTGTCCTTCACCGAGCTGCTTCTGTGGCAACACGATAGCCCCACTGACATCCTGCTTCCTCTTATACGGTTACAGTCTTCAAGTTCATTAAGCATGTTTGTCACACAAACATAGATGACTGAGACAACTGAAGCAAATTTGACTTAATTTGCTTTAAATGCATGTTTACAATATAATGCTCATTCCTCAAGACCTTGACTGCATTATGCATTTCTATATAATCTAATATTCTGACAGCTTCAACACGCATGCATCATGTTGGGCTCATTATTAAGGACAAATTGCCAATGACGTGATACAGAGAGAAAACTAGAAGTATGTCCTGTTTATGCCTCCAGAGGGAGGACAAAGTGAGTATGCAGCAGACAATAGAATTGTTGTAGCTGTTTCTTTTTTCCTTTGGTCAGCTGTCAATAACAGACAACCACTCCCAGCCTCACTGAAACCAAACACTGAGACACAAAAGAACGAAACTCTTCTAATTCATACATAGTAGTTTTAATCTTCCGACTGCAGAGAAATACGTACAAATCCGAAATACAAAGGGTGTGAATTAATGAATCCAAACATTTCTTCCAGCATAAACTTTTAAACCCCAAAATGTACTTCCGCAATACAGTTGGCACAAGGAATCACAAGAAAACGTTCTGCCTAGAGATATGACAACATCACTTTAACCATCTTCCACAGAAAACACCTGCCTTTTTCACTGTAAACTGAAGGAGGATCCAGCCAAATAAGATTTAGTTCTTGAGAAAGAATTAAACTCTGTGTCTAACTATACAGATCATACCACAGGTCATACCACATATACCACAACAATGTTCTCTTTGGCAAACAGATCCTGAATACATAAAATAATACAGTATGGCTGGTTTGAATAAAATAAACATATCTAACATAGAAAATATCAAACATCTAGAAAATACAACATGTCATGCAAAACACAATTTCCTTTGACAAGAGTACATTAAAATGGTTTACTCAGAGTGGCCTTAATGACAACCTCTATGAAGGTAGTGCCATAAAGAAAGCTCTGTGGTTTTAAGGTGAGTTCTCAAAGAGTAAGAGTCTAGAACAGGTTTGAAAAAGATTTAGTGCAGCTTGAGAAGATAGAGGTCAGACTGTCAGCACAGTAATGGTTGAAGAAAATGAAAATATAATGGTATACATTCAAATATCTTCAGTTGTCGAATGTGGAGATGTCAGGGAAATACCACAGATTTAGTGTTTTTTAAAACTAATACCACCACTGGTATAAGTTGACAAGCCTCTAGACTATTTAAGCCAATGTTTGTGGCAAGGTAAACAGTATTTATAAAGCCAGAAACAGTGAGTGAATGCCTCTTGGGCGTCAGGAGATAGATTAACAATCCAGTATACAGAAAGAAAGGACAAATTAAAAAAAAAACAAATCAACTTACTTTCTCAGTAGAAGATGAACTTTGTGACTGAAATACAAAAGTTGAAAATAACTTGCCAACACAGAATACTGAATGTCCTGAATGGAACAGCAAAGATTACAAACATGAGCTGTTCACCACAGTAATGATAGGGGCTGAGTGTATTTTAACAGCTGATTCTCTTCTAGGTTCCAGTGACCTATGTCGAATAAAATTATAGCAATTGTTCAGATGAGCCAGAATAAACAAGGCTATAAATATGGCAGCAGCTCTGCTGTATTGAGCCATGTGGCCAACTGGGACATGGGATACCTATGTGTTACCAAGCAGTGCCAGACCATTAACTCTATGCCTTGTATTGTAAATATGTATAGTGAATAGATGAATGGCTTCAGGTTAATGATAGACAGATGGAAATGACCTTAAGCATATAAGACTATTTAATGACAATATATTGAAGGACGTGAAATTCAGCTTAAATTCATCAAGTTTTTTTCAAATTGAACACTCTTGACATTTTGTGTTGGTACTTCCATACCACTCCCACGGTGAAGTCTTACCTTTGGTTTGATGGGTTTGAGTGTTGGGATGTCTGTGCCCTCCGCTCTCTGTCTGCTGGAGTCAAAAACCTTCCTCCTTTTGGTTGTTGACTTATGGCAGATCTTAGCATGCTTCTCCTGTAGAAGGGGAAAAGAGAAGCACAAAGCGCAACGACCCCACACCATAAAATCTGTTTCTACATGTTACACATCATTTGACATGTGACATGGCATTTTATTTTTTTGAAAGAGGTAAGTCAAGCATGATTTCCGTGACAGACAGCTGAGAAGTAAAGAAACACTTATTTCAAATAAAATCTACACACTATAAATGTATTTATGTAACATCAATGACATAAGTCTAATCTACTGACTGTTGTTGTTGTTCTTTCAAACCTCACCCCCTAATGCAGACACAACCTGCAAACATCTCTACACAAATACCCACATGCCAAAAAAACTAATGCTCTTAATGCATCATGCATCAATGTAGCCATCACATGTACAAAATGCCTTGCACAACAATCTGTCCATTATAAAGAGGTGGGGTATGTCAATAAAGCTTGTATCTCATTGTTAATAGCGGTAACTTTTAAACAGATTCAAATCCGCGAAACCCTGCATTTTTCTTTTTTCAGTTTGATTCTTTGGTTACAAATTCCATTACATAACAACCATTATCTACAATCTGCACTCCTAGATTTAAATTTGACAATACATTTTAACACTACAGTCGATCATAGTCATGGTTTTAAATCATTTCGTCTAAAATCCTTAACATTTGCTTTCCTACTGCATTAAAACCCTTCCTATAAAGAGCTTTTCACTTGCCTTACTGACTATCTGGATCATAGCCAATGACAAATCCCAACAGCTGATACCATGTCAGCTGACTGTGGAAAATATTGTCACCACAGCAACTGCAGCACATCTTAGTGCTTGACACAATAAAACCATCTTTTTAGCAAAAGTCTCAAAATGTATCTGAACTAATCCAACAGCATCATCTTCAAAATGTGTCTGCTCTACTGTTCTTCTGATTATTGCACATTAAGTTACATTACATTACACCTGAATTAAGGTATGTTAAAAATGACCAAGGAGAGCTTAGTTTTTACCAGGACTTTGGGGAAGAAACATCTTTTACAGGTGTTGCATTGAACCAGTTCCTCAGCAGAAGGAACTTCACCGTCTGCAAAGATAAGAGATTAAATTCTGATTTCATGAAGAACAGAAATGGATGACCTTATTGTCTTATTGACAAAAGTAGCATGTGTAGACAAACACTGAGTCAGTTCACGTTTTATCATGGCTAATATTTGATGGTAAAAGCTCACTTTCACTGACATAAAAGCTGTTTTGGGCACTGTTCTTGTATAAAGACAGGCTTCATTCAAAACAACTAGAACCAGGTTAACATCAAACGGTTCTCTGCCATGTTTAGTTAGCGAGGTTCATTAGTTAGCACTATGCTAACACTGGATAGCTCCTGTGGCTAATGTAGAGATCACACCCATTCAGACACAGCCAGTAAGTAGCTAGCTTCATCTTTGGCCCTGACGTTACCTAGCGTTACTTGGGCTAAATCCCAAACAAAAAAAGAGGAGGTCGCTGACAAAAACTGGCAAGCTAAAGCAGTTATTTGGAAGGATAAAAACGCAAAGGTTGTGAGCTCTACTGTGCCACAAAACTGGTCAAATGAACGCCTGGAAAGCAGTTTCTCTCACCTTCAAATTCTTCCATCATTAGGTTATCTGTTGTCTGATGCTGCTGTTGTTACAGACGGTCAAAAGCGAACAGCGGAAGCGAGAGCATTCACTCCTGCCCACTTCCTCTTTCGCCAATCTCGAATTTGTGAGAGATGTCTCATTTTCTCTACAGTACATGCGGATAGTTTGGTCTTTGTAGGTCACTGATAAGGTTGTGAAAGCTACACAGTTTGCTTGTTTTTGCAGGTTTCTGTCGTATGTTCGCAATTTTATTATGCCTTATGTTATGGGTTATATTATGAGGATTTCCTCTTACATTTCCTTCATTTATAGCTCAGCTAGTTACGATTTTAAATAATGACTGATTCATTTTAAGTTGGCAGGCTCTTGTAGCCATGTGTCATTATAATTCAGGTCTAACAAACAATGGTTTTCATAGGCTGGGATTGAAAACTAACTATCTTGACATTACTGATCTTTGGCTACCAATGGCAACTGGCCCCTGTGATGCTGCTTCATGTGCCAACATCTGAGCATTTCATTGGTTGTTACTGCACGTTTTGAATTAATGCAGTGTGTACTTTGAACAGTGGTGGGGTGTGGGAGGCAACCTGATCTCCGGTTCTCACCATTATTCCCACATATAGCATTAAAATAAGCCAATTAAAGCTATCCCTTTTAACATTTTAAAATCAGGTAAGGAGTCCTCTCTAATTTGACTGAAATCTAGTCAATCCTGGTGCTGCGAGGACAGAACAGTAACTTTACATTTAATGAATAGAAGAAGTGTTATAATTTGCAGCCTTGATTGTCTTTCTACTAATAAAGGCAATATTCAGCAAATATAAAGTAAATCTTCATCTTTCCCTCTCATAGGCTATACCTTTACCACAATACAAGGTCTGGCCAATCAACTTGGACTGGTGACAGAGAACAATGACACTAGTGTATGCCCTTGCTAGCTCAAACACTTGCCCAGAGCTCTCTGAAGTTTCCCAGTTTGGCATATTGAGCACATGTGTCATCTCAATGGAGTAATTCACAACCAGATGCTATGAGGTTATTGAATGGCTATTTCCTCTTTTCCTCCATCACAACAAGATCAGTGTTCTCACACTGACACTCTGCTCTCTGTGATCTCCCTCTGTTTCTCTCTCTCTCTCTCTCTCTCTCTCTCTCTCTCTCTCTCTCTCTCTCTTCTTTCTCTCGATTCAAATGGGCTTTATTAGCATACACACACACACATAAGTGCCCTGTCTGCTCATCTGTCATCTGACCTTTTGGCTTTAATATAAAATGTTAGGGTAGTGGTCCTTCTGGGTTCATCTGAATATAGTCCAGGTGATATGTGAAAATACTAGTAATACTTTTTTATAAACGCATGAAACTCAGTACATGTGTACAATTTCAGGCATTTTCAGAAATGGAGCAAAAACGCCTTGTGGCAGCCATTTTACTTTACACCATAACCAAATTATGTATTTTGCATCATACCTCCTGAACCTGATAACTCAGAAAAGGTGATATGACCCCTGTGATAGACATGATCAATAAGAACATCTTTCTACCACTACTACAGTCAAATGACAGGAAATATTTCTGCGAAATCGTTGATCAATGACCTCATCTTGTTTTAAAACATCTTCACCTGTCCATCAGGAAGAGCCAAAGTACCAGCATCAATGATCCAGAGTCTGTCATAATACAGACAAATAAATAATCAAACAGAGATCAAAGAGTCAGTCTGGCTGCTTAATATTGATTTAATAAGGATGGCAGTGTGTGTGACAAAAAAGATCACATACACTTCACATGGAACTCCAGTAGTGACGCCAATCTTTAACCCTCTTTTTACTTTTAAAGTTAGAAAATAATTCCACTCACAAATCACATTAAATAATCCTTTAATTCATTCATTCCTTTCTACTCATACTATATTAGCCTATTCAAATGTACTGATTACCATACAATATCTAGCCTACATTACAGTTTCTGGATATCACTACAGGCTATGTATTATATTGGCCTAGTTCTTTTATTTTTACCAATAAATGTGTTTAATGGATGAAAGTAATAATTTGATATAAATAGGTGTACTAGTGGAAGTACAGGTAACGTGATGCGAGAAGTTCATTTCAAGCCCTGACATACCGGTAAGTAACATGCTGTAGTATTGTACTTCACAAATAAGGGCTTTATTTTGAAATGTGTACCCGGAAGCTCGGAAGTATAATGGCACCGTATTGACGTTGGGACACGCTCTTTCGTGAGCGCAACGGGGAATACCGAAGTGGCTTTCAAGCTGATGTGATTGACCCCTGCGAATATTCGGAAGCCCATTAACCAAACCAGGTACCCTGCTGATAATAATAATAATAACAATAATAATAATAATGCTCATTGTAGGAATAGACTGTGCATGACTGGCATCGTAATTCCATGTGTAACGTCCATATCCATGCAGGCTGCTTTTACTGGCACTGACTGAGCTCTGTGGGGGTCTTTGTCATTAGAGAAAGAGATGGCTGTTTGATTAATTGAAATCAGTTTGAGCATGTCGATCATCCTGCGCCATTAATGCCATGTCTTAATGTAAGTCTCTGTGTCAACAATGCAAGTGATTTATTAGAGGACTCCATTGCGCACGACTCCACTTGATGCGCTGCAGCGCCTCCACTTAAATGTAGGAGGACATCAATTATTTAGACCATAAAGGTTTTCATTGGACTAATGACAGCTCATATAGGACCACGGCAAGGGCATTTTAAATCACTCAGATAATCCTGTCATAATCCTATAGCCTATAGCAATAACGCATATCAAACTTAATGTGTGAGCTCCTACTGAAATGGTACTGAGGTAATGGTCATACTTGGGTGTACAATTATTACTTTTCTAAGTGGCTGTGTAGGAGTGTAGTGTGTGTGTGTGTGTGTGTGTGTGTGTGTGTGTGTGTGTGTGTGTGTGCATGAGAGAAATATAGACAGTGTAAGTAACGCCCAGGCCACCTAGAATAACACTGGCACAAGTTTTTCTGGGACTCCATTCCTGCACTCCCCTCATCACTGCCACACTCACTGCTTATTTTCTGTTTGGCAGCACAACAAATCAAATGGTTGCAGAGCAGGAGCTGCCAACTTTTCACTTTTCAGTGATTGACAAAGAGACTGAGCATGCTAGCCTCTTGTATTATTCAGTGATTTGATCATTTGTCTGTGTTACATGTGTTGTTGTTCAGGCCGGCTGAGCTCTGGTTCCCACATGGGAGCAAAGCCATAAGGACACCATGCTCCGAAACACACACGGACACACACACACACACACACACACACACACACACACACACACACACACACACTGCTTATTTTCTGATGTTCTACTTCATGAGAGCAACAATGTGATTAAATTATGTAAACGGTAAAATTAATATTTCATAGATTATGAGCAGAGGAAACATAAAGGTTATGTCACTTTTAGCTACAGATAAAGCATTTCTTCAGTCTAAAATACATTCACTGGCAGTAACAAATTAACTTAATGAATTAGTAATGGTTACAAATAATCCGTCAAAATTAAATGTACTTATGTTGACATATTTTGTCTGTGAGCATTGAGCTTTATGTTCCATTTAAAAGAATCTTGTGTCTGACCATATATATGAATCTGAGACATCACTAATCAGACTAATCAGCACTAATTATTTACCAAGAGAGGCGTCCCTGTAAAAGCACTTACGCAGACCTTCATCAAAATCCAGCAATACATTATCGTCAGTGACTCAGAATCATTGTTTGACTCTGAGATGATGCACTTATTCTCTGTTTTTAAATTGGAGAAAAAGTCATCTTGTGTCTCTCACTCCCCCATGTTGAGGCTGAAAGCTGCACATGGACAACATCTGTTTGGTCTTGCCCGTCTTGACACCATTTTGAGAATGACAGCTGAGTGGGAGTGTGCTCAGATGATGACAGAGGAGGCATCGAAAAATAGCAGTGGTCAATCACAGCTTGCGCGGCTCTGGAAATAGCCACAAATGCATGTGGGAGTTGAGGTCATTTTTGATTTTTGCAACTTTCCCTCTTATTTTTAACTCCAATTTTTAGACTTGAGTCTAAATCTCAGAAGTTTTTCTTTGTACTATTATACATCATACAAGTGCACATATTAAACATGGATACAAACCTCAGACTGATGGATTGTAATTAGTGAAAATGGGGCAGGGAAGCCCGAACCTGCTCAGTGCTGAAGGGCAGCCTCACCCAGGCAGATTGTTAGAATCTCAACAGAGGGGTTTAACCTAAATCTCCGTGGCAACACAGCTCTGATCGTGAACCCATGTTTACTCCAAGTGGGATGACATTTGAATACAGTGCTGTCCTCCTTTGTGCCATAATTACCCCTTTGAGTGTGTGTTTTTGGTTGCTGTATTGCATCAATTCAAGAGCACCCTCATTTGTGTTCCCACTCCACTGCCCAGTGTTCCTTCTGCAGAATTTGTTTCCTCTGAGTCACTGGTGTCGCCTGTACCCTAGACTGAGATTAAAATAGATTAATCGGGGATTAGGTCATAAAATAAGAGGAGGGAGGGATGCATTGAATGAGTGCATGGGGAACCCACTGTGTCACTTTCTTCATGTCAACATAAACTGCAGATGCGTCCATTGTGCAAAGCTGCTTAGGACAAACCGCACAAATTCCCAGAATTTCAGTCTTTTTCCTAAAGAAAATGTAGCGTGTGTGTGTGTGTGTGTGTGTGTGTCCGTGTGCACCTGTGCTTGTGGTAAGTGTGTGCAACTGTGTGTGCCAGGCCCTGCTATGGTGAGGTGTGTTAGCAATGACGGATGTGGAGGCGACCTATGAGGACTTCATCGCCTCACGAAGGTCCGGCCGCAGGAACGCCATCCATGAAATCCCAACAGCCCCTGGAGTGCAGGGACCCGCTGACCTGTCACAGAGTCTGGCACAGCTCAACAAGTCAGGTGAGAAACAGCTCATATTTTCATGGCGGGCACAGCAAACAGTTAAGTACAGACTGATACTGACAACTTGGAATAATTTGGTGTGATTAGGAAAGATAATTAATATACTATAGTTGTAATTGTTGGAAAATGTTGTTTCAATTGCA